CTCCTCCTGATGAAAAAGTCAGATGAATGTGACATGAGCGTTCACGCTGCAGTCACTTTGAAAACATCAGATATGTATCCGATTTAAAACCACATACTGAAACGGCCTGGGTCGGATTTGAAAAAATCGTATTTGTCTCGTTCAGACTGTCATAAAAAATCAGATACGAGTCAAATGGGTCAAAAAAAAAATCAGATTTGGGTCGGATTTGCCTGCAGTGTGAACGTAGCCAAAAACAACCTGGAAGCTCCTATAATCCAGATATTGCCAGCCTTAATTTGGAACAAAAGCAAGCTGAGATGCTTCATTTATCTTTTTTGTGCTGATGGCTTAGTTTAGCTGAATAGGCTGAAACATTTGTAGCTTTTTTTGGTTTACAATTCACTGCTTTAACCCTTCCAGCACACAAGCAAACAACATAATAACTAAAACAGTGTGATGATTTTGCTTACTGAGGGACATTTGATGCTATGCCATCATTCATCAAAAGCTCCATATCTGCGTTCTACACAGACCAACCATAAACCAAGTTTTCTAAAGTCTCAATTTTTCTCACCAAATACATCATTTGTAGACAAGAGATGGAAATGTAGCTGAAAATCTCAGGTTATACAAATATGCTGAGCAGTGTTGATGGTTGATCTAAATCTAATGCAAATACCAACGTACTGYACACAAGAACACAGGCTTACCTCATGGATCATAGTAGCTGCCAGTCCATACACCACTCCAATCCAGACCTCGTCCGACTGGACACTGGAGCGGTCGGGCACACCCTCGGGGCGCATGCCGTTAACAGCTCCCATCTGGCCGTCAGCGAAGCTCATCACGTTCAAGTCAAAGACAGATTTTAGTGCACTCTGAATCTTTTCTTTAGGAAAAACCTGGGAGAGAGAGATGCTGGTGTCACTTTGGTAATTGCAACAATGTTTCTACTGAAAACAAACTAAAACTTAAAGTCTAGGTTTTTTGTTTTTCTTATTTTAATCTTTTTCTTTATTAACTCAGATATGTCATTACGTAGCATTACATAGCCATAGCCAATCAGAATCATGTCATTGTAACAAGTACAACAAAATTAGGTGTTCCCTTTCTACATGGAATTTATACCAAATGTAGTTTTTTTTCCCCATAAAGAGTTTCATTTTACGTGTACTCAATTTTTATTTAATTAATGCTCATTAATTAAGCTGCCAAACAGAGAATATCAAGCTAAAATAGATAATAGAGTAACAATGACTTCTTAGTGGCATTTTTCCAGACTATACTTCAGTTCAATTCAAATTCAAATTCAAAAATACTTTATTGATCCCAGAGGGAAATTAGGTGTTGTTGTAACTCATTTAACTAAATAATTATTGTAGACGCTGATGGCTGTGGGCAGGAAAGATTTTCTGTAGCGGTCTG